CAGAGCAAGCTGCCCACCTATGCTGGAATTGAGGTAGCAAGCGGCTATATTTTTCAACTTTGCTTGTAAACCCTTGAGCGAGATTGTTCCCGTCTTCGTGGCGGACTGTAACATCGACCACGAAGACCCTTCCCCGGCTTTGTATTACCAGGTCAGGTTTGAGATTCCCGCCTCCGGTTGCCACCACCGTCGGTTCAACCGTTATTGCTATCTCTGGGCCTTTCTTTTTGAGTTCTTGCACGATGAGGTTTTTGATCTCATCGTGCCTTCGAATACCTATGTGGTTTGGTGTGACGACATTGCCCAAATATGTGTCCCAATGTCTCAATTTGTGAACCACATTGCCTGCATGTAGGATCCGGTATTTTGGTCGCTCTACTCATGGCTGCCCTGTCAGCACATGAGTTGGTTCTCATCTTGAGGGCTGTAATCATGCGACATGGCTTGAGGAACGAGAGGTCCCTAAGCCATGCGTTTCCAATCTTGGAGTCGGCGAAGGCCGCTGCCGACTTTCCTTGAGAACCAAGGCGCTTCCATCTGGCAAGCTCAGCCTTCTTTTGCGTTCTAGTATAGCTGGCCAGTTGCTCCCCAGTAACTGGCCAAGCTATCCGGGCATCGAGAGCGAGTCGCCTAACTCTACTCTCGAGCTTAGTGCCCGTGGCAAGAGCTTGCATTGCCGGGTCGGGGTTGTCCGCGAACTTTAAGCCGGCTTTTAGGGCTGATGAGGTGGCAAGCCACTCCAACCTCCGTCCCCCGTCCCTCTTACCGCAGTATAGTAAGGCGTTCGTTGTTGCCTGCGGCAGGTGAAGAATATTCTTCACCACTACCCGTAGCTCCTGGTCCATTAGTTTTATCTGTGTCATAGCCGGCATCGCTATGGACAACTGATATAGGTAGTGAGGAACAATGTAAATGGAGATTAAGTCTCTCTCTGATGTGGTTTCAACTTCAGTCGCTGCACACGACTGAGAGTTGATGCAAGGTCGGCTCGTATGCCCTCGGTTGTGACCCCAACCCAGGGAGACAACTTGCATCCAAGGAAGACAAGGTGATCGCCGGCCCCTGCTACCGGTATCACTTCTCCACTGTCGAGTTCAAGGCCTGGGTCAGTTAAGTATCAGGAGTCTTTGGTACGGTTTACACGGAAGGTGCGGCATTTATTAGCAGCAATCTTCATACCTAGACTCGATAGGTATACTTCCGTGTTACTTAACTGGTCCTTAGCATGTGGTACAGTTTGCGCGACTAAAAGCAGATCGTCGGCAAATGCTAAGGACGATATCTGCGTCTCTGTGTCGATTTTGTACCCAGGTCTCGTTTCCAGCTTATCTAGTAAGGACTCCAAAGCTAGATTGAATAATAATGGGCTGAGGGGGTCACCTCGCTTGACCCCCCGCTGGAGGCGTATCTGGATTGGCGCCTGATCAAGTTCTATCACTGTGGTTACATCCTCATATGCGTTTTCTACGATACGTACCACCTCTTCGGGAAAGCCTTTGCGACGTAACGCGTGTCCTATAGCTTGGTGCGGCACGGTATCAAATGCTTTGGACACGTCCAGCTGCGTTACGACCAGGCCATTCTTGAATTTTGAGTGCCTCAGCAGCTCATTGAGGATGTGAATGTTGTTGAAGCACCCAGATTCGTTCATGAAGTCCCTTTGTCTGGATGAGAACCGTGCTATTGCCCCAAGTTTGCTGTCGATAATGCCAAAATAGATTCTCGACAGTAATGAAGAGATTGTAATTGGACGGTAGTTTTCAGCTAACATACCGTCCTTACCCTTTTTAGGGATCAATGTGGTTCGGTTCTTCCTCCAAGCGGTAGGAATATTACCGCTTATCATGATCAAATTAAAGAATAATTGGAGGACTTCGGTTGCACCGGGAACGCGTTTAACGTCTCCCTTTTTAATACCATCGGGCCCCGGTGCTGTGGACATTTTCATCCGGGAGAGACGCGTGTTCACCTCCTCCGCCGTTACTGCGGATAGGACAGTACCTAACTCAAGTGCTGGTTCGGAGGGCTCTCCCAGGAAGGGCACCTGTACCTCAGACGGATTTGTGCCCCCAAGCTTTCTGTACAGGTCCCGCACGTCTTGGGCTGGAGCTTTTACCCCTGGTTCCTCCAGCCAGTCCACGTTGTTACTGACGTGTTTGGCAACAATACCTGGTTCCTTTTTGTATATGTCCTGGGTACGGGCGTAGAGGTACTGTCTGTTGCCCCTCTTATTTTGTCCTCTACGCATTCAGTTTCGTCGCCCTGCAACTCCCCGCTCCTCGCTGACGAAGAGAGCGGTGACTCTGTCATGTATACGTTAATGTCTATTTGCGATTGGGGCTGCCCCATAGGCAAATCGCAAGCCTCGGAGATTGCATTTCTGAGCAGCTGGGTGACCGTGTTCACCTTCAGGTGTTGCTGTGCCGCTCGAGTCAACTTGCAGCTACGGGCAGTCTGAGCAACATCCTGTCTCCAGAGTGTCTCTTCTGGAGAAGCTGCTGGCGATACCAGCTCATCTTCACTGACATTCAGTACCCTCTCTGACATGTCAGGCATCTGAGACGGACTTGTGTTTTCGGCGGTGGGGGTGATATTATTAACGTTATTTTCACCCCCTGCAATAATAATAATAATAATAATAATAATAATAATAATAATATATTTATTGCCCAGCAGATACATCCATTTAAAGGACAATGTAATTGAATAAAATTTGATGTTACAATATTTTCAACTACAATCATAGCTCACCCATTTTATGAAAAAAATGCAATGGCAGCGACTGCTGATACATCGAGTAACTCCGGGACTGGAATAGGGGAGCCACCCCCTACTCTCGCAGCTGGCGGTTGCGGGCGCTTCTTCTTCGGGGACGGTAACTCTACCATCCCCTGTGTCTGTAGATACTGGTTCGGTACTGTCATCAGTACTAGCGCCCGCTATGATCCCTCTTTCTGCGAAGTATTTGTCTCGTCGTTCTTTATAACATATCTGGGCCCTTTTGTCCCGGAGTTGTTTCAAAGTTTTCTCTGGTATCAGCTCCTGCATGCGGATTGCTATGCGCAACTCACCCCGGTACCAGAGTTCGCACTCCATCACTATTCCTTCCTCCTCTTCAGTGAAGATCACCAATCTTCTCTGTCGAGGAGACCGCCGTGTACCGGCTGCCCTAGCTTCGTTTCGGGTGAGTGGATGCCGGTGTCGCTGGTGCTGTGCTAGTGCACTGCGGCCGGAGTACCTTTCGCCGCATTCGGGGCAGGCAACGCTTACCGATTCAGGTATAGGCAAGTTACTTGGTATTCCGTCAGTCTCGGAGTCTGTTAACTCTGGTGGTGGGGCACTTGGGGACGTGACACAGTGCCGCATGTTTGGATATATATATTTTCGAGCACATCCTGCATTTGAATCTATTTCGTATATCCCTGTGTTCAGATTTTAGATGTTTAACTTCATCGTTTATGGTCATGTGCAGGATGTTTATGCTTCTTTTGAGGCATAGGGGACATGACCTTTCTGTATAGGGGAGCAAAATTTCAATATCCTTGTCATCGCCATTTTCATCATCACGGGTCCCTTGTCTAGGATTTTGGGATGGTGTGGGCCCATCACCACCCCGATCTTCCGAAGCTATGTTTGTTCTGCTAGTAGCTTGTAAGTCATATGCGACTCGGCTGGCTGGGCCAAGCGCATGTCTTCCCCTAAGGGGTAAGATACAAGGTGGTCTGTATCTCGCCCTCGGTTTCCACACCGACCCCTTATAACTGTCCGCAGACAGGCCCCGACCGGGTAATCGGGGGGCTGGTTCCCTAGTTAGCCGTCATCCTCGTTCAAATGCCAAACCAAAGGTAAGGCGGGTGGATGAGCGTTGCCCAATAGTCGCCGCGTGGAGGTCAGGAACCTTCGACCGCCATCAATACACCCGAACAAGCTAAAAATATTACACGTGGGGAGACATTTTGTTGACACAATCGGAATGCAGTCCCTAACCTTCTACTACCGCTACACGTGGAGAGGGGGAAAGGCACGGAACGGTACAGCGTCGACAGAAGACAAGTGATTGACGCGACGGAACGTGGAAATGTACACCTCCCTGTCCAACTTTGGGTATGAAGTATACGAGGGACGCTCGGTAAATCTCCACCCAAAATTACTAAAATGCTGGAATAACTTGTTTTGGAAGTGGTTTCGCTAGATAGTGGGTAGGGACATGCTCAACGAAATCGTCTTGATTACCCACCTTACGGTTTTAACCTATGCACCTTCCCACTGCTTCTAGCAAAACCACTACCAAAGGAACCCACCAACCGCCGCCATCCAAAAATTAGCGAGGAAGGAAGGCCCCGTTCTTTATTTTTTGGGCCCCCCAATACAAATATTACAAATTATAAAATAATATCATAACAAAACTTAAACTGTAATTACCTAACACCAATAAAACAATATAAAAAGAAAACAACCTCTCAATACAAATGAAAATATTATAAAATAACATCCATATGTAAAAACCTATACAAATATAAAATAATATCATCACAAAACCTATACCTGCAATTACCTAACACCAGTAAAACAATATAAAAAGAAAACAACCTCAAAATACAAATGTAAAATATTATAAAAATAACATCCATATGTAAAAACCTATACAGATATAAAATAATATCATAACAAAACCTAAACTGCAGGTACCTAACACCAATAAAACAATATAAAAAGAAAACAACCTCTCAATACAAATGAAAATATTATAAAATGACATCCATATGTAAAAACATATTCAAATATAAAATAGTATCATAACAAAACCTAAAACTGCAATTACCTAACATCAATAGAACAATAAAAAACCTAAACTAAAATTCAATAACCCAATGAAGCCGAGCTTCACCGCTGTCTATCCAACACCACACTTTCAGCCCATTCGTTCACCAATTCAATAGCCCTATCATCCGCCTTCCCTTCCACCCTCAATTGTGGTCTAAGTCCACCCCATATATGTGTCACACGCTCCCTAGCATCCAGTCTCCCTTCCAGCTCGCATTCTTCTCTGAAAACCGCCGGCGGTGCTTCCAAAATCCAATTTTCTTTCCAGGGTTCCTACACGGCATCCTCCTGATTATCTTTACCCCTTTTAGGTCTTCTTCAGTGAATTCCCGAAATAGTTCCTGATTTTGCTCTTTTAGCTCCCCTACAGCCAGGTCCGCCTCATATCCCTTGGTAACCAATGTTATACGGAGTCGTGGTCGAATTTGGCGCTCCGTCTTCACTTTGAGCTCCTCATCCTTCTTGAGCGTCTCCGCTATGAGCTTTTGTTGCAGTTGGTTCTTACCTTCTATGATAAGTACTCCCCCTCCCGCCTTACGCACGCCCTTTGCGGTATCCACCTTGCCGGCCAGGTGACGCTTCACTTTCTGCATCACCTTCCATGTGTCCTTCTCATTCTCCATGCGCACTACAACCTCGTTCCTAACAATCTTTTCCGGCGTTTTCCACCCCTCTCGCACACTCTTGCCCTCACCATTCGTTCCGTTTTTTGAAGGCAACGGCGGAAAAGCAGGCCCTCACGCTGCCGTACTGGCATAAGTGCGCTGGCGCCCTAACCACTCCGTCGCCGCCTTCGGGCTTTCTTCGCTCATTGCCGCACTCACTACCTCTCGCTCCACTACATCTGCCTTTTTCTCCCCTCCTTTTCTAGCGCTCTTCACATTTTCAATGACCCAGTCCAATTTTTCATCCATACGTGCCATTCTACCCACTATGCGTGCCTCCGACCTTCTCAATTCCATCCACAGTGGGTAGGGACAGTGGGAATCTCGTTAATCCATTCATGTGCGTCACTAATTAGATGACGAGGCATTTGGCTAATATCAATCTAGTGCGGACATGTATCGCAGATCGCGATTATAGTATCAGTGTGGCACATACTTCATACGCCATAAGTACACGTGGAACTGACCCACGGCATCGATGGTTTGAGATGCGGTACAGTGGCTAAAATACAAACAGAGCCCAAATAAATCCAGCAGTTACACGCGGCAGGATTTAGCTTCAATAGCTCGAGCCCGACGCGTAAATGTGGTGTGCATTGATGAGCCCCACTAAGTGGACACAGCTGTCTTTAAGCTGTTTGGTCAGTCCAAGCGCACGTTCAGTGGGCTCGTTGCATCGCGGCCGTATGCCGCGGGCCCCGATGATAAGGGGCAAATACTCATACGTCCGGCCCGGCCATCGAAAACGAACAGCCTCCACGAACTTGTCGTTGCCGTAGACGAGCCTTTTACGCTGCCATGGTTGTCCGAGTGCGTTGTTCCCTTCCCATGACACTTGAACGTCGCAAACCACAGTGCGAGCACCTTCGAGATGTACGACTATATCTGGTTTGTACAGTTGCCCGTCGGGGTGACGCACATGTGGTTCCTCCTCGGTCTGCCGTTTCGATCTGGAGTGGGCGGCGATCTTTTTGGCCACTTCGTTGTGGCGTCGTACTCGCTCTTCATGAACTAGATCGCACTTCTGCAGAATGTGGCTGAGAGTTTCCACATTCTTGCCCCCTTGTTTCTGCACATCCTTTGATCTGCAGGTTTATATGGCAGGCCGTTGGTGGGAAGGTTATTGGATCTTAAATGAACGGCTCGAACAAAGTCTCTTCCGGACCAGCCTGAAGGGCGGTTCCGGAGCCAGCTCCTAGAAGCGGCATGTTCAGAGGCATATTGCATATCAGCAGTGGATGGTCCCGAGGCAATTGCCTCACGCCAGAGTTGCTCCGCTGGGACATCTCCCGCCAAGTTTTGAATACGGCGAAGTAACGCTAGACTTCGGTCTGACTGCAGAACACAAGAAACCACGTCGTCGCCAGTCTCCAAAAGGAGTGATCCTTTTAAGAAGGATCAGAGGCACCACTCTCTTAAGCTCCTGGATGCCCAATCCTCCATCTGTTATCTTAGCGTGGATGGCCGCATCAGAGGTGTGAGTTGCCATGTGCAAAAAGCGTTTTACGGCTCCCCGCACATGGCGATCAACATCCTTGAGCGTACTCCGAAGAACCAACGACGGCAGCACAAATGGCGTAAACCGTCCGTACGAACCGACGAAGTCCCGAAGCACGACGATACGCCACTGCGTGCCCTTGGCTCGAGAATACCGTGACAGCCGCCGCCACGTGAGCGAACGGCGCACGCGTTTCGCCTTACCGAGTAAGTAAAGAAACGATGAAAGTAGTGGTATTTCACCGGCGATGTTGCCATCTCCCACTTATGCTACACCTCTCATGTCTCCTTACAGTGCCAGACTAGAGTCAAGCTCAACAGGGTCTTCTTTCCCCGCTAATTTTTCCAAGCCCGTTCCCTTGGCAGTGGTTTCGCTAGATAGTGGGTAGGGACAGTGGGAATCTCGTTAATCCATTCATACGCGTCACTAATTAGATGACGAGGCATTTGGCTATGTAAAATATTTATTCTTCGATAAATACATGTACCCCCTTGTTATGGGGTTGAAATTAAACTAACATTATGTTATATTACAATGTACAATTGTGGGATGCTTAAAGGCTTACTGCTAAATAAACAGATTAACACATATTAAAATAATAAATTAGGGACGGGTTCACATACATAAAGGTATTAAAATTACGCCGTAGCCAACACAGGCACACAAACACATATTAGACAAAAATACGTGTCTGGTTACATATATCGGCCGCGGCCCACAACACCTTAAATATATATATAGAACACGCACCTAACCTATCAATGTATATGTACGGCACGATGGACAGCACAACAAGAAGTGTATAAAAATGGTAAATCTAATAAAATAAATAGATAACTCTATATGTACGGCACGATGGACAGCACAACAAGAAGTGTATATAAATGGTAAATATAATAAAATAAATAAATAAACATTACAGTCACATATATTTAGCAGTATAGAACGGACCACAGCCCTGTAGAGGGCGTGTAGCCCACACCATGAAGAATTCGCAGGTGAGGGAGACGACAGACACCTAACGCACTGCGGCCGGAGTACGGCGCCGCCACACCCGGCGCCCGAAGGCGGCATGTATGCTGCCGCCCCACTTGAGCACCGATTGCACACAGGAGCAACGAAGGGGCGCACCGAGAGATAGTACAGACGAAGCCTCCTCATTACATCGAGGCCAAATTCCACGAGCCCCAAGAATTATGGCGTGAACTTCGATTGGTTTGTTCGGCCATAACTCTCGAGCAGCCTCGAGGAACTTGGCGTTGTCATTCACCGCCTTTTTGTTATTATATATTTGTTGTAGAGGGATGTTACCCTCCCAGTTGACCCCCACGTCCGCCACAACGACGCGGTCTCCCTTCATGATAGCCATGTCTGGCTTGAAAAGAGTCCCGTCCCTGTGGCGAACGTAGGGCTCCTCCAGAGTGGTCCATCCCTTAGTTAGGCAGTGCCTAGCGACCTTCTTTGCCACCTCGTTGTATCGCCTAATTCGTTTCCAGTGGGTGCTGGGGCACTGTTGGAGGACGTGGCAGAGAGACTCCACCCGCGAACATCCTGCACGGCACATCTTGCTCGCCGCACATTGTGCCAGCGGTTGGAAGATTGTTGGTACGTAACTGGACCGCGCGGACGAAGTCCCTACCTGTCCAGCCCTTGGGCTTCTCCTGAAGCCCGGAGCGGCTGGCTGTGTCGTCTGAAGAGTTTTCCATCCCCGATAATATTGGTCCTCCAACCCTCCAACCTGTGCATGAGTTCGCGCGTACAGTCACTCTGCAGCGCCGCCATCAGCGCCCGATCTTCGTTGAGATCGAGCAGCTTAATGAGTCTGTTAAGAAACACCCGAGGAACATTCAGCCTTAGTTGCTGGATCCCCAGACCCCCATCGCGGATCGCCGCATAAAGGGCGGCGTCGGGCGTATGCACAGAAAGGTGCAAAACCGCCTTAACGCTTCCCTTTATGAGGCGATCCACTGACCGAAGGCTTGCACCGGTTACCTTCGGCGTTTGGAGGCCATAGAAAAGCTTAGGGATTATATAATTTTTGATGATTGTGAGCTTTTGATCCGGCTTTAACGGGGACCTTTTCAGGTTAGACAGCCATGATGGTAGGTTGGCGAGTGAGGGCCTCAATGTCCCACCGACAGACGCATCGTGGCCCAGGTGGCGAAAGCTGTTTACTTCCGTCACCATGGCCACACGGCGCCCGTCGATCTTTAGCCCATATTCTTTCCTTGGGACTAGTGACCCTTTCACCGATCCTGCCACCATGGCCGAGCACTTCCCGGGGTTCAGGACCATGCCCCTGGCCCCCGCGAACTCCACCACCTCGCTGAGCGTCAGAGGAGGATTAACTTCCTCGTCCTCCAGCAAAATGATGTCGTCAGCGAACGCCATAGCGCTGACCTTCACTCCAGGAAGGATCGTGCCTCCCCTGTTCCCGTCGTTAAGCCGGCTCAGCAGCTCATCAACTACCATGTTAAATAGCAGTGGGCTAAGTGGATCCCCTTGCTTGACCCCGCGCCTAATCCGAATGCTCCCCGTCTGCTCGCCACCCACTTTGATGGCGGTCTCTGAGGTGGTCAAAATTGACTGTATGTATCTGATGGAGCCCTCGTCTATTCCAAATCTCCGTAACGCCCCAACAACACTCCCATGTCCAACAGTGTCGAAGGCTTTACGGACGTCGAGTGAGACGACGCAGTACCCTTTTCCGGCGCCCACCCTATTCCTAATGTAGGCCTGAAGGACCATACAATTGGCGAGAGTGCCATCCACCGCAGTGAAGCCGCGTTGGTTGGTGCTCAGTTGGTACTTCCCGTATGCGGTTAGCCATCACCCTGTGCATCAACCTCTGAAGGGCACTCCCGATAGTGAGTGGGCGCCAGTTAGCCGGGTCACACCGTTGACCATTTTTATAAATAATTGTTGTGCGCGAACGGCGGAAGCAAACAGGGTGCACATTCCGTATCAAAATAATAGAGAATAGTACGGACAGCACCCTGTTGTTGGCCCGTTTCACGGAGGACACTGAAATTCCGTCGGCGCCAGGCGGGAGTCATAGTTACTCCCGCCGTTTACCCGCGCTTGCTTGAATTTCTTCACGTTGACATTCAGAGCACTGGGCAGAAATCACATTGAGTCAACACCCGCAGGGGCTTTGCGGAGGTCTACCGAGAGAACGTTATAGCTCTTCCCGGCATCCTTCCGCGACCCGATGAGGTGGTCCAAAATAAGCACGTTAGCCAGCGTGCCATCCATCTTTACAAAGCCCCTCTGGTGATGGCTAAGCTGGATTGCTACTCCAATACGGCCCTGAACGATCCTGTGAAGGAGCCGAAGCGGTGCAGACCCGATGGTTATGGGTCGATGGTATTCGGCCCTCCGTCTATCACCATCCTTGGGCACCAGTATAGTGCAGCTTTGCTTCCACGTTGTAGGGTGGATTTTGCTCCCAAAAATGGTGGTAAAGACCACGCTCAACCCGTTATTATTCATTCTCTTGACGTCAGCTACTGAGATCCCATCTGGGCCGGGTGCAGAATTCTGCCAGTTGGCCTTCCATTTGCTGACGTCATCAGGCGTGATAGGATAGAACGCAGAGCGTTCTGCTACTTTGGGGTCCGCGATCTCTTCGTCGTCCCTAGCGGGTGAGGACTCCCAGATTCCGCCATATAACATTTCCACTTCCACTAAGGAAGGGAGTTCGATAGACTCGTACATGCCCTGCCCTTTGAGCACGCGTACTGCGAGGCCAGATTTGTCCTTGGCATAGAGGTCCTGTGCCTTCTTGTACTCGGCCGCGCGCTTGCCGCTGCCGCCTTTGGCCTGATTGTAGTGCCTACCGGGTTTACTGGCACCTCTCGTGCGATTGGTATTGCTCCGTTTGTTCGATCTAAATCTCGACTCCACCCAACGGTCGGGAGCGGCCGTCAGTTGTTCTGTGGAACCGAGAAGCGCCATATCGATGACGCGACGGATCTCCCCATGCTCAGGAAGATTGAATCCGCGTCGAGCATCTCGCAGGTACTCTACAAAAGTAGAGTTTATTTGCTCCTTTGGTGCGAGATCTCTCAGCGGAAATGGAGGCAGCACTGCCTCGGGAGCATGGGGAGTCGCAGTCGTATTACGACCGGAGGGGTTACCAGGCCCGGAATGGTGAGCTGCGTTTTCACGCAGCGATACGGGTACTTTAGAAGGCGCTGGTTCTATGCCAAGTTGGTCGCTATGACGGGCGACTACAAGTCTGGGTTCTTTGAACTTTGTTTGAATTGGAGAGTCGCCCTCTCTCCTCTTCATCTTGCCATCTCTGTCATTTTTTGGCGCACTGTTGGAATCGGTAGCCTTAGAGCCGTCTTCATCTTAGCGGGGTTGAGGTCAGCAACTCTCCCTCATCCGCTTCTGCCTTGCCGATACCATCGGAAGCAAAGGAGACTCGATGTCCTGCGAAAGAGGCTCGTTTTCGCAGGAGTTTGGTTGTTTTGAAGTACCCTTTCCTTCGAGTACGGACGTCTGGCAGACCGCGAAGGATTTGCTTGTAGATGCGGTAGGGAAAGAAGATTTTGATGGTAAAATCCGAGTACCAGAGGCCCGGAGTTGCTTCCGGGCGAGTTCAAGATATCTCTGATACTCGGGCTTCCTCCTCCTGAACCGCACCTGATCGACAGTGAGACCTGTGGCTTCAGCCATACTTATTTACTCTCCCGGCTGGTTCACGGGCTTCGATCCTCGCCATGATCTGTAAGATCTCTGGTTCTGGCAGAGGACCGCGCATCGTCTCGATCCCACCGGCATATTCCACCGGGCGTGCCCTCCGCTCGTGCTGTCGGGTGGACTTGAAACTGCCAAATCTCATTGGACGGTGTTTACATTGGAGCCTGTCTTCGCATGCTCTCGCCATCGTGTGCGTTCGTAGCTGCACTGCCGACGTAAAAGCAGTGTCACACGTCGTGCAATAGTAGTTCGGGGAGGACTTGGCGCCAGTATTGCATGTCTTGGCGCCGCTGACGGGCTTCGCCTTTGATTTGTCTGTCCTTCCCTTGTCCTCACTCCCGCGTTTGCTGGATGCGGGTTGGGCCAGGGGTAGATCTGGCCCGTTGTTAGTAGGACCGGCGCCTTGGTCAGTCTCGCGCCACTGTTCTTGGGGGTCGCGGTGAGAGCGTTCAATCCGGAAATTAGCCTCCGCGCCATAATAATAGCACGGGCCCGACTCTCGGTTGGATTGAAAAATCCGGAACCTTCCCGGGTGAGCCACAAGTACACAAATATATATATATATATATATATATATATATATATGGTGGCAGTAAAACACCTGATGCGGACCCACACATCATAATAGTGGTAGCACTTTTAGTGAAGTTACGTACTCTCTCGGGATATTTGGTACCACGTTTGAATAACATTTTTTTCTTTCCTGGACCATCTTGTAGATTGGTTTCATCGTAATTGAACACGTTTGATGGTGGAATACCATCCAGAGTCAGGCGTAAACTATTAAAATAATCTTGCATGATTTGCCTTGACACAGAAGCTCGAGAGCGTTTAATATTTGCAGCTACCTTTTTCACGATATCATTGCTATATCTTTGAAGCATATATATAAACCCAATCATTTCCCGGGAGATTATTCCGAAATACGTCTACGTTACGTCCTTGGCTATCCAAATAACTTTTGGCAAAGTATCTTAGATCAGTTGTATCTTACGGAAACCCCCACTCTGCGCAAATACTTGCTGCGGAAATGATCGCTTTTTCTTCGCTCTTGGAAAATACTGTTTGCCCACCATTTTTTCTATGATGCCGTCCATGGTATTTATTATTTAGTGTTCCAAAAGGTATGTTATACTCCCGAGAAGCTCGTCGGAAGCTCCATCCTTTTTCAGTTACCTTTCCTAACGCTTGCTCAACAACAGCACTACTATAGTCCTTGTACCTTCATTTGAAAACATTATCAGAAGACTTGGTGATCAATTCCACCCCTGGAGATCAATTTCACCCCAAATTACGGTACCCCGTGTTCTTCTGGGGTTAAGATACATTAACATTTCGTTAAGTCTATGTTATACAATCTGAGGAGGTGTTGCAAGGTTACTGCTAATTAAACTAATATAATAACAGAGTTGCCCCACGATGTTTTCGCTTTTTCAATTTCATCCTGCCTGTAGGGCAGGAACGTTTTCGAGTACTCCGTCAAAGGTTTGTTATGAACCTTCGTCGCCTTCCTTACAAGCAACTCCAAGATCCCACGATACAATCGCTCAACCTCATTAATAGGGGGAGTTGTTTCTTGCTCATCTAGCTGAGTTCCAGATAGTATGTTGTCCACTAGAGAGCTTCGATTTTTGTTATAGAGGTCTTGGGCTTTTTTAAAACCTTAGACCTTGGACCAAACCCTGTTCTAGTTTGGGCTTAGTTTCGTGGAGGGGGGGTTGTTCCCCCTCTTGTCCCCCTTCTTACCCTCCGGCTGGTCTGGAAATTGTTTTTTTATCCAGTTATCGAGGACGACAGCTAGCTGGAGACCCTCGTTACGCAACTCCACGATATACGCCAAGTTGTCAGTCATAGCTGCCTCCCCCTCGGTGACAAGATAATCACGCAGCTGATGACTGACACGCACCTGAGTGCGAGCCGCGTTGTCGCTTGGTGGTCGCGTGTGGTCTCACGTGATCCTTGACTCGTCTTCACATATTTTCGTTCTTAAATCCTGTTTAGCGGAAGCAATTTTGGCACTGTTTCTTAGGTTACTTGGTCCCAAGCGGGTTTTTCCACGGCAGAAATGTACCACACAATCTGCGTTTATACCGAAAGACTAAAGTCGCTGAATCCCCGGTTTACTCGAGAAAGTCCCGGCGAAGATGGCGCGCGGCATGATTGAGAAATACATTGGAGATTCTCTCAACAGAAAAATAATAAGACAAGGCGTTTCCTTTTATTTTGTTTTTTGTCCTTTAGCAGAACATTATCTCGTGTCCGCGTCCATCCAAGAAAGAATTAATACAATGCAAGTTATATGAGAGTCGGTCGGGAACATGAGAAACTGCCCTTTTAAAGGAGGTGTCCGTGTAAGAGGGGTGTCCGCGAAGCGGAATTTCACTGTAATATCCGGAAAAGATTAATTTAGAACTTTTTTTATACTTCGATAAATATGAAAAGACCTCGGTTCATACGACCCACCATTTCACTATTTCCGTTTCCTTACGGAACACTTATACACATAAGAATTGATATCATCATCCCGAGACAATATTTTCGTTCTGCTTGATATGAACTTACTTTGACATAGCTAGTCAAAAACATTTGGTAGCATTACCTATATAAAATAAATTAATTTCGGATATCCCTGAATTCTGTTCAACCTCGTTATCCTTATCCACTGTTGACATGAGCATTACTACCTTATTTATTATTATTTTTTTTGAGTATGACACACCAAAACAAATGGCCAAGCTTGAAAGGTAGGTGGAGGGAGACGGCTGCAGCGGAATATTCGTAAGAAAAGACTTAAATATTATTCGGTTGGGTCACGGGCGACCCCATGCACACACACACACACCCTCCTACCCTGTGCGGTCCCTCCTCGCGCTGTGCCCCTTGCTGTCATCTTCTTACCCCTTGGCCCTGCACTCGACTCGGCCTCTTTGGGCATCCCCCAAAGTTTGCGAGATGCTCTCCCCCGCAGTTGGTACACTTCGCGGGCGTTTCGTTAGGGACGTTACAGTCCGCCACTCTGTGCGTTCCTGCGCATCTAACGCAGCGCGGCTCTCCCGTGCAGTTCATTTGGCTATGACCAAATTGCTGGCATCGGTAGCACTGACCTGGTCCAGTCTTCTTTCTGAGTGCCTCCACTTGGATCACCATGTGGCAAACGCCGTTTATTTTGTAGATCCCCGTCTCTTCCTTTGGGAGATCTACTTTAATCAGCGGTATCGCTTTGCCAGTCCTTCTGCTGGTCATCCTATTCACTCTCTTTGGGTGGAAGCCTTTCCTGACCCAGTCTTCTCCGATCTCTTGGCAGGTGGTTTTGATGGGCATTCCCCTTAGTACCACTCCCTGAACCTGTTTAGTTGCGTCATATCTTCCTCGGAGCTTGCGGCTTCTAACGCAGCCTTAATCTTCCCTGCTAGGTCCGTGACCGCTTCCTCGATGTCTTTAGGGCTGTCATTTTGAAGCAATGGTACGAGTGCGTAGTGCAGCGTGATCCTGAATCGCTGCCGGTCCACTCTCTTCACTGTTCTCTGTTCCACTGGTGTTGTCCCATCGCCCAAATGTAGAAAGATGGGGTTGTGATCCGAGCTTCCCTCTTGCTAGGGGCCGACGGTGGTCGCGCGCAGGTCGATTTCTTTCAGAATCGCCATATCTATGATGTCTTGTCTTCCATTGTTGTGGTACAGTGTGGGGTCGTCAGGACCTATCATGGTGTTTCCAGGTTCATCTATTAGTCTTTCGAGAACAGCACCATGGCTGTTTCTCATGGTTTTGTACCCGATACCTTAAGCTCCGTTTTTACAAAACTTTATATGGTTCAAACACGAATGAACACAGACCGAACCGGTATCGCAGTGTATGTTTCGCTGTGACTGAGATTAAATCCGTAATATAATTCAAAAGAGCTAGCAAAAAGGACTAATATGCAACTACAATTATATTAAAAAATGTAAAAAAAGTGAAAAAAGACACTCATATAACTTATGATTCGATATAGAAATAACTATTTAAAGAAAAAAAAAAATTCTATACATTAATTCAAATCCTGCGTCAATTGTTGGACACCATTTATATCAAGTACAGTTGCATAAGCAGAATATTCTTCGGCAATTTCAGTTATTTTGAAATGTTACTATCAGTTTCATTTTAGTGGCAATATAAGTACATTGATATGTAAAGTTCATTTTCCTATACAAAACTAAATTATTCTATATTCTCTTTTGTACACTTATAGGTTAAATATACAACGAATACTTATTTTATATAAAACGTATGTATATACATATTGTTATAAACGATAGGTTTAATTAGGTACTATGTACTTATTTATCAAAAAATATTAAAGGATCAATGAGCAACTTGTGTTTCATTTTTTGTGTACAGATGCCTAAGAATAGGCTACTTGTATATAATTTATATGACATTTTCTGTGTTGCGTGCTGTAGCCCACTGGCCTCACGCATCGCTGGTCGGTCATGACGTCACATGACATAAGTTCGGCCTTTGGACCCCGGCACTGACGCGGTCGGACAACACGACCATTTTTGCATAACACATTCATCCTTAGCGCTCAAGCTGACCTGTCGCAATATAATATTGATGTGCGATATTATAGCGGAATGTAGTCTGAGATCGCACAGGAGGTGTATGTTCATCATTTGAAATAAATAGTAGAGCAATAAATAATATGGGGAGATGTTGGCGCGAAATTATGATCTTTGACATTACGCACCTATTCGTTTCTACAATCCTGACGACCACAGGTCCTTCGTAAAAGTAGTAGATTGGTTACCAGGTTCACATAAACGCGAGGAGGTATACAAACTACTGCTATGAGATAAGAACGACATTCAAATCCACCGCATCGATACCTCTTGTCGTTTCTGCGATCCTGAAACAGACCTATACGATTCTGAAAATCGCATTGTCGTCCGGACTTTTCTCATAAATTTGGTGGACGTCACGTTGCTACCAGGATCACT